CCCCAAAACCCCAAAACCCCATGAATCATTTTTAGTTTTATTTTAGTAATCTCTGAAATGAATAAATAATAAAATTAACTCAGATCAAATTTCTAATTCTTATTCCAAAAATTGATCAACAAAAAGACTATCCTCTTATAAAGTCTGATTAGTAATGTCTGATTAAAAAATACTCTATAAGTTTTCCTAGCTTCCTTCTTTTAAATTGATTTTTTACCTTACTACATCATACTTTTATTCTTCATCAAATTTATCTTAATATTTTTATTTCTCCTTAAGTCTCTATAGAATAGCATTTTTATTCAATTTGGTTATAGCAACACGATTTTATACGTTTATAAAATTCTAATCAAGATTTTTTAATATTCTTTTATCAATAGCATTTTAACCAGTATTTTGGATAACTTAAGCTAGGTAAAATCTTGTGATAATCTTTTACTCTTTTGTAAGTTCCTTCCAACTGATCAATTTTTACTCACTATTCTTCATTACTTGAATATTCTAATCTTTTATTCTGATTAAATTCTGTTTGAAATAAGGGATGAGTCTTCTTTGATATTTGGCAAGCGTTACTTATTTTATGAATTTAAGCATATTTTGGTTCTTTAAAATCTTAATTATTTCAAACTTTTCATCTAATTTTTATTTAGCTTGCTTAAACAAAACATTTTATGTTAATATTCTCTGATTTTTTCTTTTAAATAAACATTGCTTCACTCTACTTTTGTAAAATGAGAAAATTCTGTAATCAAAAGGAACTCAATTCTTTAAATCACTAATTAAGTTTCTAAGTTTAGTGGATTTAATAGACTTTTTATCATTAGCATTGGATATTAGTTCAGGATTTTTTAAGTTTTTCATCGCTATACTTACATTCTGGTTCTATTTTATTAGTAAGTTAGTTGCAAGTTGAAATTATTGTTTTATGAGTGATTGATAATAGAGATATTCCTAAAATTTAGAAATTAGTAGTTAAACAACGATTGAGATAATACCAATAATACCTCCAGTATTTGATAAAGCATCTGAAAGAGTAAATAATTCTAAATTTGTCGTAGTCACTTTATCATCAAGAATTATTTAGCATGTTATTAAAAAGCCAGTTAAATTAGAGTCTTCTACTTACATTTAATCATCAGTTATTGTGTAGTATGTCAAGTTTTATTGGCCTAGCATGCTAGATATTGAAGAGGTACTTTATATAAGAAAGTTTTCACCAAATCTTAATTGATATTAAAGGGAAAGTCCAGCTTTTGATGTTGCGTAAAATTACTTTAGAACTGTTTTAATTGGATTTCCAGATTTTTCGTTTACATCAATAAACTAGTTTGTCATTAGGATTGTCAATGCTAATTTGTTAAACACAATGTCCATTTCAGCTTATGAAGCACAGGTCAAAGTCTTATTCTTAATTCTAAGATTCTCTTGATTACATTTTCGGACTTATACTTGAAGCATTGATGCCTTTTAAGTAGAATATGATCCATAAAATGCAGTTTTGAAGTCAATTGGACAAAAATATCTATTGCTAATATCAAAAATTTCCGACTGTGTTAATTCTCCTTTGAATCTTCCAGCTTGACATTTAGAAAAATGTAGTGGAATTACTTCATAAAAATATTCTCCTTTAATTTAAGAAGTTTTTATCTACTAAATGTTTACTTCTATATATTCATCGATGTTCTTAATAGAATGATCTTTAGGCAGATAAAAAAGATCAATTACAAAACCAATGTCGAATTCATCTTAACTTATGAATACTTCCCTCTAGTCTTCTGCTAGATTTTTTCAAAAGGTGGAACTTGTAATTGTTGTTTTTCTCTCTATCACTTTAATAATCTCAGATATTAGAAAGGCAAGAATTAGCAACCTTACGCATAAAGTTACTATACCACCAAAAAATGTTTTAAAAGAGGAGCTCTTATTATATGTAAAAACTATGGGATGGCCGTATTAATCTAAGGATCTAATAAATTCTTCCAATTTATAGCTGAAATTCTTGTTTCTTTACATTTTTATATTTTTATTATTAATATATGTAATTTTTTTCTTTTATATCCAACCTATTTAAATAATATTATTTTTCATTCTTTGTGTATAATTCTAGATTAAGGGGTTTTGGGGTTTTGGGG